TTCTGGGAGTTGAAGTCCACTCATCTTAAAGTGGCCAAGTTTGGACAACACTGCTTTAACCGTATTGCTTCCTTCACTTTTTATCTTTTTTCTTTCTCTAACTTTTCTTTATACGTTGTCTTGTTTATCTGTTCTCTACGTAAAATTTGTCAATAAAAATCAAATCATATATAATAATAAACAAACTTGTGATCACTGACCAGTAACACACAACAGAAAGACATTAAGGACCTAAAATCAATAAAAAGTACTCTTGATCTGACGACACTTTGTTGTATCAAATAATCCCCTTTGTTGTTGCATTACAAATTAGAGTCCTAATGGTTCGGGAAATTACACGTTGCCTCCCTAATGGAGAACATTCTTTTATCCACTCCAAGTAAATATATTAGCTATCCTATAGATAGAGATGGCCTTATTGGGAAGGAGGAAAACATTTGGAAGCTTTTCTTAAGAGATGTCATCTTCAAATTGCATCAGGCTACAGTTTCTATTATTCCAGTGGTGGCTTCCAAACCCTTCCATCTCCCACAAAGAGGCCTTCAAAAGTGCTGTTCACTTATAAAATGTCCTTGTTCCTTATGTTTCAAACTGACTGCTTTATCACGAGAGATGTGAAGTAGTCACAGCTCTGTCTGTAGTTTTACACACGGGAAACCACAAACATGCGAAACCAGAGGGGTTGGACTGCATTTATTAACAACAAATGGGAAACAATCGTTTTGCGTTCATGTTTGCACACCTTCATGTAGCCCTAAATGTACTGAATGTGTCTTTTTTTTTTTTTAAGAAGGAAGAGGAAGTCATGAACTGTTTGTCCTTAAAAGATAATAAAACTAAAACTGCGGAAACGTCCTGTGCTTTACAGAGTTCAACAGGAAGAGCCCAGTCTGAAGGATCTCTCTAAATGTCTATGCAGCAGAAACAACAGAGGGATGGAATGAAAATGGATGGAGAGAAACAGAGAAGAACACACATTTCCCCCTTAGTTTCATGATGGGCAATTTGGAAATGATAACATGTATTTTTAAGCAAAAAAAATTAGCTGGGCTCACACTACATATTACATTAGACTACAGGTTGGAAGGCGAAGATAATTTAGCTTAACTCTACCCAATCCAGGTTCCACTATTTTAGTGTCCTTGACAGATGGCCCTGCAGACTCTGTTTAAATATCTCCCATGTAGAAGAATCTACTATCTCCAAGTCACTCTCTTCTCTTGTTGAACATCTTAGTATTAGAAATAGTTTTCTAGCATCCAATCCTACATTTTCCTGTCATTTAAACCCCTAATTTCTTGTCTTCTGGAACACCTCTGAACAATTCTGCTTATGATAGCCCTTCAGATGTTTGAAGATAACTCCCATCTCTCTCTTCTCTTCTCCAGGCTAAACATACCCACCCACCTCCAACCATTCCTCAGAAGATCTTCCTTCCCACCTTGGTTCTCCTCTGGACACATTCCAGTTTGTGTGTCCTTCCTAAAATGGGGCACCCAGAACCAGATGCCATATTCTAGGTGTGGCCTGAATAGAGAGGAACAATGACTTCTCTTAATCCTGACAGTATAGTTCTGTTGATATAACCTAGGACTGCATTTGCTTTTGTTATGTCATTTTTTGGGGCAACCATAACATACTGTTGGTGCATGTTCAGCTTGTGATCCATCAAGGCCTCCAGATTCTTTTTGCGGTTGATGGCTCAACATGTGGGGAATAAACCACTGCCCTAGAAGTTGTTTGAACCGGCTGTAATATTAGGCAATAACATGATAGATTGTTTAGGCACAGTCCACTGGGTCTAATGTGTTGTGTTGAATGTAGCTTTGAGATTCAGTGAACAGCTGTATCATTTCTTAGAGGATTCTTCTGCATCCTAACATTCTTAATTTTGGACCGTATCCCAACAGGATTCTGGGGCTTGGTCCAAGACAAATGAATACTATCAAGGCTGAAGACCGCTGGGTTAGAGGGCAGCAGATAGATGCAATTTAAAGGCTTTTAGATGTCCCTTGGGGAGAGTTTGGTAGGTAGAAGATTTTTTGTTTTTTTAAAAAAAGGTATAGCCCTAACCTTGCAGGCCTTGAGCAGTTTCCAGTACCAGGGTTTCCTCCTCCACTTCCTATAATCCAGAGGATTGATGGACTGAGTCAGAATCTGGAACGTGGTCTCCTCTGAGGGCAACAAAGGTTGGTATTCTTCCTCTGCATAAGTGAAGGAAACAAAAAGCTATGTAAGTGGGCAGGAATCAAGATTTCCCATTCTCTCTTTTTTGTTGTTTTGGTGCCTTCAAGTCAGTCTTGACTCCTGGCAACTGCCTGGACTAGTCCCTTCAGTTTTCTTGGCAAGTTTTTTGTTGTTGTTGTTCAGAAATGGTTTTGCCATTTCCTTCTTCCTAGGGCTTAAGAGAGAGGGACTGGCCCAAGGTCACCCAGCTGGCTTTATGCCTAAGGCAGGACTATAACTCATGATCAGGTTCTAGCCTGGTGCCTTAATCACAACACCAAACTAGCTCACCTCATTCTCATATCCTTCCCCCAAAAAAGAGGGGTGGCAGGATCTTTGAAGTTAGGAAAGGAAGTCGTCAAGCTTTCATCCAATGTGCTATCATCTTAAGAACAACTACTGAGCAGAGGAGATCAAATAATATGTTGAACCACTGAATCCCATCATCTCCAGCAAACACAGAGGAAGTTGTAGATGACAGAAACTTCACTAAGGGTGGTTGGGTTATTTAGGAGTAGCTGATAAAACTCTACTCCAGATAAAAATCTGCAAAGACCATGGTAGACTTCTGCAACCAGAACAGAGACTTCATTTCCTCCCTTCAGAAGATCCTCACGAATTCAATTATTTGAATGTTTATCAAAAGCGTTTCTGCATGGGAAGCAATGGAGCAGCTTGTAATAGGAAAATATTATGGGCTACACAGATAATTAAAATCAATTCTAAACATTCTGCATGCTCAGAAACCAAAAAATGTAAATGCCTCACCCCCATTCACGCTTGCAGTGTCTTCCTCTTCAGAATCTGTTGAAAGATCTGCACAGAGAGAAAGAGAGAGAAGTAGGAAATGCATTTATTATATTTGCATACTACAAATTTTGAGCTTCAGCTACAGCGTAAAGCAAGCTGATGGAGCATCTAAGGCAACTTGACCTAGCACAATTTGCTCTGGTATTTCAGACAGACGAGATTGTCCCTTTAATTACTTCTTAGCCGGCCACTTTGTAACAGCAGTTGCCACAAACTAAACTCCTGTCCTCCATCCAAAGCAGAAAGGCTTGCTGCAGAGAAGATGATGATGCTGAACCCAACTCACATCTTTCCTGACCTTTGGCCATGCTGATTTGGAGCTCATGGGAACTGGAGTACTGGAACATCTTGAGGTCTAGATGTACCCCATCTTTGGCCTATAGATTCACCACACCTCACCTGGTTCTGGATGGCTGGGTGGAGCCAATCTTTCTCTGCGTTGTCTCTTGTGAAGCCAGGTTGAGACCACAACAGTCAAGACATAGAAGATGTAAAGTCCAAGGAAACCTGGGAAGGAAATATATTACTTCACAGCAGCTGATGCTTGTCTTCTCTGCTCATCAAACCTTGTCTCCAGTTCATGTACAAGTTATGGATCAACTTCCCTTTATATACAAACAACCTCCTCTGTAATGAATTTCCATAATAAGTAAAAACACAGCTTTAGGAGAAAGCATTTGGTGACGTTAGGTGTTGCTCTCTACCCATATTGATCAAGGCCATGATCATACATACTCTTGAGCACTGTTGGGTCATTTTTCATCTTTTTTTTCCTCCTATGTATGCCACTCTGAGCCATTAGGAGTAGAATAACACAGAAATGTTAAGCAATGAAACAGATAAATAAATAAAAATTCTATTTACGGAAAACATTTAAGAGAGCATTCCTGCTATATAGGTGTTATTCACATGCAGGTAGATCTATCCCACAATCCTTTGTGATCTGAAACATTTCTACCTCCATTTTTCTCAAGTTGCCTCCTCATTCGCTAAAGAGCAAAGAGCATTCATGTTCACCTCACATGCTCAATTCCACAGATTTAGAGTGTGCTCATTTCAAATCTGAGATCTTTTCAGCCTGTTTTGAGCTCAACCCAACTGTTTCATGCTCAAAACAAGGAGGTGTTTCAAATGAGAAATGTTCTGATCTCCCAAAACATTTTGTCCATCACCAATGTAAGAGAAAATCCCCTCTCTTCATCTAAGCTTTGTGGTGCAGGCCAAACGTGACTTTATCCTATGACTGGAGAATTGTCGTGCAGAGTTGATCTCAAGGTCTTTTACCAGGCTTTAGATCCAAGGGGATGCTGAGAAGTTAGGCATCTACTCAGTAGCTCCCACGGATTGTCTTGAATCAGTAAAGCTTTGAGCAGTGCAACAAATTGCAATGACCATCACACTGAGATGCTATTTCCTTATCTTAGAATACTCTGGAGCAGTGTTTCCCAAACTTGGTATCTTCCAAGTATGAGGACTTCAACTCCCAGAATTCTCACCAATGGCTACGCTGCCTGTAGAATTCTGGAATCTGAAGTCCATACATCTGGAAATGGTCAAGGTTGGAGAACACGGCTCTGGAGTGATGCATCTGGGGCATTATGGGAAATTCAACTGGCAGATCAACTCAGCTATGCAACTCTGGTCACTTGAACCAACCTTGAACAGGCATCAGCTACAATCCTGTTGGGATGAAGGTGACCCTGTTGCATCACCTGCAGAAGGAGTCAGGCTCTGTTCCCAGAAGACAAAACACGAAGATGGATTCTCTACCACCCAACGAGGATTTTTTAAGGCCCCTTTGCCTTGTAATACTTACTCAGAGCTTCTGCCAAGGTGACTTGTTCAAAATAGAGAGACACAAAGGTCAGGAACACTGCGATCATGTAGAAGACAGCGTCCCGTAGGAAGGGACGAGAGGCAGCCGTGAAAGGCCTTACGAGGGCTATGCCACCTGCAACTATAGTGGTGACGAAGATGCCAGCACCTAGTAAAAAAGAAAAAGAAAAAGCAGCTGGATGAAATTTCCTTTTTCTTTTACTCAGCCATACACATTTTCACGGGCTGTGAGAATCACCTTGGGAGACAGGAGGAAGAGCCGCAGCCCAGACAATGGTCTGAGAAGAGATACCTCAGCCCACAGAAGGAATGGAAGTGGAGAAAGCATTTCAGAAGGGACCCTCCCTAGTTCTCTGGGAAGTGGAGGCAAGAGAGGGGGGAAGTGCTTTCAGACTTGCAAGATTCTGTTACTGCAACCTTGCAATAAAGGTAGTGGAAGTACTCATGGTTTGGGTTTCCTGTCTGGACTACCTCAAAGGGCTGAGACACACAGAGAATTTCTTCTCCTACATGTTAGAAGGTTGGGGCATGTAGACAACAGAAGGTATATAAGGTACTGTGGGGAGGGGGCCCAGCGCGGCCGCCCACCTAACTGCC